GTGAGCTATTGGTTGAATAGTTTGAAACTGGTACATGAAGTGCGTGGGTTACGGTGGGTTACGGTGCATCCTTCCTTCACACCAGTGAATATTTTATCGTAAAACACTAGCTGTCACCTCTGTACTAGAGCAATAGAAGACAGGTGCAGGGGCGTCGGACACGGTACGGTCACTACGGTATTGACCGTACCACTATTTGCCCCAAGTACCTTGTGAATCAATAAAATGCACTGATTTGGGCTCCAATTTCCCGAAAATTTCGGCTCAGCCACCCCTCCCACACGAGTGAATTGTACTTCAGATGGCTGACCGTACCACACTAAAATACCTTCCGACGCCCCTGCAGGTGTGTGATGGCTGGGTGACTAAACTTTGTACTTGCTGTGTGGGAAATTTTGCGAATTGTCAAACTTTAGAGAGACTAGTCCCATTTTCAACTCCTACAGTACATCACCATTCGAGGCTTTTCCAATGACATCACAAGAACTCCTTGCACTGCAGCCTCTCAGTCTGCAGGGTACATAGGATAATGTCATTCAAATTCATAGCCGCTTGAAGTGTTTCGCATGGAATGACATCATGACCACTGGATCGTCTTTCCATACAGCGTGTATAGGACGATGTCATTCAATGACACTGCCCCCCCCCCCCTCCCCTGCTTGAAGTATGTGGTGTGCAGCATACATGTTCTCATTGCTGTGTTCTATTGTGTATGTCCCCGTTTTCCATCCAGCTAACAATGCACCTGTCATCCAGGGAGGATTGCGTATTGATGCGTTGCTTGACATCACCGTTAGCTACATGTTCAACGTGACCGACGTTGATCCAGTCACGGTGACGGTCGGTTTCGCCAACAACACCGTGGCACCTGTTGAGTTCAACCTCTCCCTGACCATGACGGGTAAGCCTGGGAGGATAGCCGGGCGTTGGTGATCCTGTGTTAACGATAGTTAGTCTGTCAGCATCGTGGCACGTGTGGAATAATCCCATTGTGTAATGACGTACTTTGTACAATGTACCAAGCCGTCGCTCGCCGCAGTAGATGACCTGTCGTTGTGTAGCTTCGTTAACAGGTCCTATGTACCCGGTCCCTTTCGGAAGCAATATTGCTGAGAGGAGATTGCTCTGTTCGTGAGAAGAAGTTCATGATACAGCGCTGGACAATTATTTCCATTGTCTTGGAGAGAATGCAGAGGAGAGACACCGGTCGATAGTTGCACTGGTCTGATCTAGTTTTCTTCTTGTGTATTGGAACAAGCAGGACAACCTTTCACAGCCTCGTTTGCACTTGATGCCGTAAGCACAAAGAGAACAGCCGGGCGACAGGCAAGCAGAGCTCGTTGGCACAACTCTTCAGCATCCTTGCTGGAATCCCGTTAGGGCCTGTGGCTTTCATGGCATTCAGTCTTCTGAGCTCTCTCTTGACAGTATCCATTCGAAAGTGGACGGTAGTAAGCCGAGACTCGGTGCGAGGTGTTACAGGTGGCAGATCGTCCGATGGCAGGTCGTTCAGAAAGTCGTCGCACCGAGGCTGCACTTTGACGAAAAGAACGTGCCGAAGCGCTCAATATTTTGCAATGTGCAATCGGTTTATACGTCATTGTTTCCAGGTGGGGTGTTCGATGAAACCCCATTGTGTGTAGACTGAATGGCTATATTTGTTGTGTTCTGCCTAGCAGCAATTCTCCACTGAAACACCTCTCATGTAGCAAAATGGCCGCCACGTGTGGTGATGAATCCACACTGCTGATGCCACTTTTTTGCGCTCTGTGTGTGTGTGTGTGTGTGTGTGTGTGTGTGTGTGTGTGTGTGTGTGTGTGTGTGTGTGTGTGTGTGTGTGTGTGTGTGTGTGTGTGTGTGTGTGTGTGTGTGTGTGTGTGTGTGTGTGTGTGTGTGTGTGTGTGTGTGTGTGTGTGTGTGTGTGTGTGTGTGTGTGTGTGTGTGTGTGTGTGTGTGTGTGTGTGTGTGTGTGTGTGTGTGTGTGTGTGTGTGTGTGTGTGTGTGTGTGTGTGTGTGTGTGTGTGTGTGTGTGTGTGTGTGTGTGTGTGTGTGTGTGTGTGTGTGTGTGTGTGTGTGTGTGTGTGTGTGTGTGTGTGTGTGTGTGTGTGTGTGTGTGTGTGTGTGTGTGTGTGTGTGTGTGTGTGTGTGTGTGTGTGTGTGTGTGTGTGTGTGTGTGTGTGTGTGTGTGTGTGTGTGTGTGTGTGTGTGTGTGTGTGTGTGTGTGTGTGTGTGTGTGTGTGTGTGTGTGTGTGTGTGTGTGTGTGTGTGTGTGTGTGTGTGTGTGTGTGTGTGTGTGTGTGTGTGTGTGTGTGTGTGTGTGTGTGTGTGTGTGTGTGTGTGTGTGTGTGTGTGTGTGTGTGTGTGTGTGTGTGTGTGTGTGTGTGTGTGTGTGTGTGTGTGTGTGTGTGTGTGTGTGTGTGTGTGTGTGTGTGTGTGTGTGTGTGTGTGTGTGTGTGTGTGTGTGTGTGTGTGTGTGTGTGTGTGTGTGTGTGTGTGTGTG